ATGACATTCTATTCCTTCCACGTAGACCAGAAGACCGTCTATTCAATTGTCAATCCACTCCAACCATTGGAGATGCTCTTATGACTACTTTACCCTTAATTATTAATGAAGTACATTTATTTGACCATAATGTTACTACTTATTTACTATATTGCCATTAATGATTAACCATTACTTATTAAAGTTTGACTTGATCATGACCATTAATGTGATGGATCTAGTAGTGCAGAATCATTCTTATTTCTTTCATTGTGCTTCATATGAGAATGATAGATAATGAAACAAATGAGAACGATTGTGGACCATTAGATCCAACATATTAATGGTTATGATGAAGTCAAACTATGGTCAATCATTAATGACAATCTCGTAATTATTTTATCATTATGTGGTCAAACATGTTCATTTGACCAATAATTAAGGGTAAGCTGGTCAATACTCATTTATTATGTGGGACCCAGTCACCAATTAAATATCTAATATTTCTTTTCATCACCCTCCTCCACAAATCGATTGAGATCTGCAAACACACACACACACACACACACACACACACACAAACACACCACATCTATCGCCACAGCCGGACCACCGCCCGCCGCCAGCCACCAGCACACCTCCCGCCACGCTCGAAATCTTACAAGACCACCACTTCCGGGTCCGTTGTCGCCGTCAATAAACCCGTTGGAACCACAAACCATCACAACCAACATCTCCGCCCCATCTGCAACCTGCCCCGGCAGCTCCTCCGCCCACAGCCCCACCTCCACCATAAATTTCACCCTCTGCCGTCGCATGCCCTCTTTCCCCCGTCTGATTCAGTGACGGACAAAGACGAAGATACATGCTTCGCCGTCACTGAACTAGCCGGGACCACATCCCGTAACAACCTCTTGGTGGTTCGTCCACCATCTCCTCCGATTGTCCATCCGCCCACAGACCTACCTCCACCATAAATTTCACCCTCTGCCGTCGCATGCCCTTTTTCCCCCGTCTGATTCGGTGACGGACAAAGACGAAGATACATGCTTGCTGACGGAGATGAGGCATCGAGATGGCTGACATACGAGGCGGCGAGCAGGCAGACGGTGGTTGTGCAGTGCGGCGGCGGAAGAAGACGAGGAGTTGTGTCACTGCGGCGACGCGACGCGACAGCGACGACGGCTGCGTGTTGTGCGTGAATCGATGTCGGCGGTGTGCTTAAAGGGATGGACGACCGGAAAAAGAAAATGTCCATGGCTGAGGAATCCATCGTATGTTTGAAATGGATTTTGTGTTCTTTTTTTTTTGGTAAATTATATAAACTATAGGGATCAATTTGTAATTTTAAAAAACTTTTAATTATTAATCAATATAATTGTTTATTAATTATATAATTTACTAAAAGTCTATTAAATATAGAATGTTGATAAATAATTTTAACAATATTTGTATGGTTATTCAATCTAAAATTTCATAAATTTCAGTATTAGTATTTTATATTTTTTAATTGATATTTTTTTTATTATTTTTTGATTAAAAAAATTAGTATATATGTAGACAAAATATAGTGTGAAATATAACAGTTACTACGGTGCAATTCGTCCAACAATATGGTTGCATGGTGTCGTTCTGTATTCTACAGATTGAACCATCTGGACATTTGTCCCAACATCAAATTGAAAATGCACATAATCAATTGGGTTATTCGGTTCGGTTAACCGAATTATCCCAATAAAATCGGAATAATTTTTTATTTATATCAAAATTATAATTAATATGTTAATAATTTTATTTATTATTTTTATATTTTTTAGGTTGACAAAATTTCGATTTCGGCCGATTTCGATTATTATTGTGCAATCTGATAGCGTGTTAAAGTGCAACGTATTGTTTTATAAAGTGCAACGCATTGTTTTATAAAGTGCAATATACTGATGTGTAAAGTGAATTATTATAATTTTGGTACGTTGACATGCTCGTGTTTGTGTGGATAAATGATTTGATTGATGTTAAAGTATTATGTATATCCGTTTTTTAGATTTATATTGTCTGGTATTTTGGCGGGACATGTTTCACTTTAATTGTAGAGTGTGATAATAAAATGAAACGCGTTGTTTTATAAAGTGCAACGTATTGTTTTATAAAGTGCAAGTCGATGATATATAAAGTGCACTAATTTATATAATCACGTATAAATTATGTATTTTTTAAATCTAGAATTAGTATATATAATTTTACATTGAAATAACCTAAATAATGTAAATAAATTACTATTTATTATTATAATATTATATTTATTATTTTAATATTATTATATATTATAATTTTACATATTAAAATTTTTAAACATTATTTCACTTTATTTATCATTAACATGAATTTTATGAGAATAATTTAAATTTAATACACATTTATATTTTAAAAATATATGTAAGATTTTAATATTTTATATAATAATTTTATACTATTCTAGGCTTATAATACATAATAAATATTTGTTATTTTATACAGGTTGGGTTCTATCTTGTAAGCGATCTTAAATCTATAAAAAAAAATATATTTATTTTGTTTGATATTTATTATTCAAAATCTATACAGTGCAATCGAGCAGACAATAATGTGTAATTCGTCTAACATTATCGTGCAATCCAACTAATTGTAATGTGCATCTGGCATTATATCTATTTTAATTTTTATTTTTTATACTAAAAATAATTGACATAATTTATTATTTGTGTTATAAAAATTTAGTTATTAATTCAAAAAAACAATTTTGTATTTTATATTACTTTAACATTTTAAGTTGTTTTATTTAATGTTTTTATACATTATTTTAATATATATGACACAAAGTTATAAAAATAATATCTATTTATAATATTCTTATAAATTACAGATTTAACCTAGGTACTAAATTGAAATATATTCAAATTCATAAAATTGCAATCAAGTGCTTGCACATTATCTAATTCTCATAAAATTTCCCTAGCCCCCCTTACGTCTGTATCTCTCCCCTTCACCCCCGCCGTCAGCCTTCTCCGTCAGGTGATGGCCGACGTCACCTTTTCCGTCCGGTGACCGCCCGGACAAGGGGACGTGCCGACACAGACGACCTTCTCCGGCGGGTGTTGCCAGAGAAGACGACCTGCTCGAGGTCGGATTTGAGATCCAGTTCCAGCGAACGAGAAGAAACGACAATGATGACGTTCGTGTTCTCGGACATCAACGACGTCGGAATTGAGAGGCGGCATTGACGGCTCGATGGCTATGACGATGATGTGCGGTGGTCGGTGGTGAGTCTGGTTGAGCAATGTGTGTGTGCGTCGTGTGCGTTTGTGTGTGTATGATAGGTGTGCGTGTGTGTGACGCCGACAGATGAAGGTGGTGACGCCGGACAACTATGGCGGGCGGTAGAATCGGGCAATGGCAAGGCGGCGCTTGGTGATGTCGGAGGTGACCGAGTGGTGGCCGTCGGTTGTGTGTCGCCGTCTGTCTCTATGCGTGTATGTGTGGGTCTGCGTGTGTGAGTGTGTATGTGTGTGTTGTGTGTGTTTGTGTGTGTGTGAGAGAGAGAGAGAGAGACATATATATATGTATAGAGAGAGGGAGAGAGAGAGAGAGATGGTGAGGTGGGGTGGGTGAGAGATGGGTGGGGTGTGTTGATCGATTCATTGATTGGGGTAGTTGGTAGGTGGATTAAATGTGTAGTGGGGCCCATCTTTTTAGGTAATGTGTAGAAAATTACCAAATTAACCTTAATGAAGGTATAATTGTGACTTTTTTTTATCCATTAGATCATCCGAGCTAATGACTACAATTTATTTTCATTTCTTTTACTAAGCACCTTTCTCATGTGAGCGCGATCCTGTATATTCAGGACCGGCTCTGCACGTGTCTGTTTATACCTTACGGGTTTGTGCAATCATAGTAAATGCAACGGTACTATCACAATCAGGGATGGATGCACATACATGATGTATATATAATGTATAATATTATGTATATTTAATTATTTTGCACCTCCTTAAAATATAAATTGAACTAAATGATATATAAATAATAAAAGAAATAGAATCACATTTCCCGGGGTAATGGGGCACGATTCCACTTCCCTTACTTTTCCTTTAATAACCATATATAATATATAATATAATAAAAATTATGTTAGTTAATTATTTTTAAACTATTAAACAATTAATTAATGTAAAGCAAAAGAAGTTGGGAATTGGGGGATTCTCGGCCACTAAAATATTTGAGAAAAATTTGAGAGCAGAACAGAACTACTAGAAGAGCACTGCGCAACAAATTGGAGGAAAAAAAAAACAAATTAATTGAGATTTGAGATTTGAGCATTCATCTTCTTGAGCAATTTGTAAGTACTTTTTTTTTATATTTTTATTTATGATATTACTTATTTGTTCCTTTTGAGCCTAGGGTTTAATCAAGTTGAATGTATGATGGGTTTCAGGACTTGAAAGAACGTCGAGCACAATTATAGTAGAAACGAAGTTTGAAAGGTATGTATTTTTTTATTACAGTTTTTTTTTTTTAATTCCAAAATTGCAATTTTATGTATTTGTTGTTAAGTATATGTCTATCATAAAAAATTCTCCTCCCCANCCGTCCCTGATGACAATAGATGATGAAAGCATCGAGTATTTTCTTTCTCATAAATTTAGTATAATGCAAATTTGAATGAATAAACTTATATAAATGACTGATATAGATTTTTAGGGTAATAAGGTAGTTTTTAATATGCTAATATTCCATATGGATAACACGCAAAGATTTGTAAGATTTTACAAAGACGTCCATAAAAGTAGTTGATTGACAGATTAAAACACACGAAAATTACACACCAAATATAAAAACTAGCACACACCTTCTAAAAATACTAGTACACACACGAGAAAGAGAGAGAGAGAGAGAGAGAGAGGGAGTAAAGTTAAACTAACCCATGGACCAATACATAAAGTAAATCTTCGAACAACTTAACAGTATATGTTAAACGAGCTGCATCAGGAGCATGATTGGATGAGGCCTAAGCTGTAGAGCAACTTGGTTGATCTCGAACGAAAAAGAGTGGCCAATGAAAACCTCCCTGCAACTTGCGAAGTATTGGAGCTATTATGGTCCTCCTTCACGCGGAGTATGGTGAGCCCTATTTCTTTCCTAATTGCCTCAATGGTTTCCTTTGTGACGGAATACCCAGATGCATCGGTCACATAGAAAATGTTAATGGCTTGGATCCCTATTGTTTTCACCTCAGCCCGAGTTACTGAAAGACCGTGTTCTCTGAATATGCGAGTCACATCAGACAGGAGACCAACCCTATCCTCACTACACAGTTCAAGTCTTATTCCCTGCATTAGTACTTACTTATATAAATAAATTCAGATGTAAACTAATTAATGTCTTTCTTTTATACTTAACCTTATTAATTAGTTACCTCTGATGATCTCCTTTTAATTGCTGCTTCCAAGCACTGAATTACACGCTCTCGTTCTGCTTCTGAGCTAATAGGAAAACCATCCATATGCCTTATGTAGTATTCCTAATTATAATGCAAAATNACCACAATATTAATCGGACATTCACAAAAGTGCTATTTTCTATGTATAAAATTAATAAATATACAGTAGAAAAAAAAAAAGGTAAAATTACATATTAGTACACAACTTTTCATGTTTTTGCAATTTAATCACCACCTTTGAAATTTTACAAATCAATACACCACTTTTACCACTTTTGCAAATCGATGCATGAATGACGGTTCCGTTAACAAAAATATAACGAAAATCTGACATGGCATTAAGCCACGTCAATGCCATATCAGATTTTTGTTAACGGAACCGTCATTCATGTATCGATTTGCGAAAATGGGAAATGTGGTATATTAATTTGAAAATTTTCAAAAGTAGTGATTAAATTACAAATGAAAATGGTGTATTAATATGCAATTTTTGCCCAAAAAAAAAAAATAAAGTTTTACCTGTTGAGCCTGGGGGCCTTGGGCGTCAATGGTGCCATGGGATACGACGTAGCCCATATCTGTGAGCGTGCACACAGTGTCAAATAGAAGATTGGGTCTGTCGGGACACCTCACCCCCACCACAGTGTACTTCTTTTCTGGGCACTCCTCAACAGTGACCAATGCTGCAGGTTGGGATTGACCGTCGTAATCACGATCAGCATACATAATTTGATGCAACCTTCTTTGACCCATCGAGACAGTGCTCCCTCCATTGCTATTGCTAGTGGTACTGACAGGGGCGAAACCAGAAAATAATTAATTGAGAGGGGGCAAAAGACATGACAAAAAATTTAGGGGTGCAAAACATAAATAAGGGAAAAATTGCACCATTCGTCCACTAATTATACCCGAATTGCACTTTCGTCCTTTAATTATTTTTTTTTTACCTTTTGGTACACTATCATTTTTTTTTGGCAATTTTCGTCCAAATCGAGGTTCAAATGAGCACATCAGCTTTTCCGGCAAAAATGAGCACTGGAACTTCGATTTGGACGAAAATTGCCAAAAAAAAATGATAGTGTACCAAAAATAAAAAAATAATAATTAAAGGACGAAAGTACGACTCGGGTATAATTAGTGGACGAATGGTGCAATTTTTTCTAATTTAAGAAGATGACAAATTAAAATTTTTAAGTATAATAGTAAAAAAAAAAATTAAAATTTGAGGGAGGAGCAAGTGATACATGTAGTTTCGCCCCTGGCTACTGATCATGAGCACTTGTAGAAGTAGCCGTTTGATTTCTGAGAGGCGTTTCGGGTTATCTATCCGCAACCCGTCTCCCTCGTCTGTGATGTAAACCACAGCAGCCATTCTCATGTTGTGTGTCCAAACCTCAGCTCCCACTATGTTGCACTTTAGATTTGTTAGGATTGAAAAAACCTCTGACAGCAGACCCGGACGATCTCTTCCTAATAGCTCGATTCTTGTCTGTTTCGCGGTGCACTGCACCACGTCCACACATCTCTCGAATGGATCACACACTAGAATGGGTTCTTTAGGTTTCAAAGCCTGCATTTTTTGATTTCACACATACCAATTAATTGATTAAATATACGTGCCAGCCAGACATGGAAGCGACTTTCATGCATCGAAACTTATGCCGCCACCCGAATGTTTGTTTGTTTCGTGTGTTACGTATATTCACTTAATAAAGAAAAAGGAAAAAAAAAAATTGATTCACCCTGCATAAATGTGGCCATGACGGCTCAGCCACCGAACAGATATAAGTGACCAAGGGCGGAAGCACCTATGAACTGCAGAAAATTTTCCTACCATTTACCTCAAAAGTAACGAAACATTTTTTTAACATGAGATGGTAGAAATTCGCCGTTTAAACGAGTTGAAAGGTTTTCGTATTCGATAGTTGTCTCATAAATTATGCTAAATTCGATTATTATTTTGTGCATTCGCGTTAGATTAAATGGAGACATTTACGTAATTATTTAGACCTACTGTGGAAAGAACATAGATACAAGAATTCGAAAGAAAAATATTGCACATGCATATTGTTGCATAAGTATGTAAACCTGTTGAATTAGCTCGGCGATTTCATCCTCATAGACTTTATTTCCACATTCATCCGTAACATGAAAAACTGCATTCAATGATGAAGAAAGAGCGACCGAGCGAATGGCATTTAGTTTGATTAAAATAAATTAATTGCATGTCAAATTCAAAAATATGGAAAATAAATAAATAAATAAAAATAAAGCCTTAAATCTTACCATCCATAAACCATCTCCCATCTGAGCAAATGTACGCCTTCCTAATTATTAGATTCTGATCAGTAAGAACTTGAAGGACTTTTAATAGGCTTCCTCTCTTATTTTGACTCTCAATCTGCGACAAACACACGCTCACAGACGCTGCATAAGTATGTAAACCTGTTGAAAGGCAACTATACAAATAGAAAAGAAACATGATACCTTGATCAAAGTAGCGTTCTGGTCAAATGCATTTTCAATAATAGCCCTGCCATTTCCCAAAATCAAGAACACGAATTAAAAGTTTTAATTCTTATTCAAATGAACCAAAAACCTTTTGACATGCATACACGCTTATGCACACAAAAAACAATCAGCTGATTCCGAGAAGAAAAGGCGAATAATCGAACAAAAAAGTAATGAACCCCAAACACTGGAATAAGGAAAAAT